AGTAGGTGCCCAGGTGGGAGTGGGAGGGTGCCCAGGTGGGAGTGGGAAGGTGCACAAGTGGGAACAGGTGCCCAGGTGGGAGCGAGAGGGTGCCCAGGGAGGAGCAGGTGCCCAGGTGGGAGTAGGACAGTGCCCTGGGGCCTGCTGTGTCCCTTCAGGTAGCTCTTGAGTGAAGACTGCTCAGTGACAGCGCGCTATTAGGACGGTTGGCTTTGGAAATTGTTGTTTTAGATATAACTTGATTCAGGTGGTAGTCAGCATGGACAGGCCCTGTCCAGCAAGAGCTGGACAGCCTTGGCTTGAGGAATAAAGACGGCCCTAACCCACAAGCCAGTCATTCAGAGTCATGTGAACCAATCCCAAGTTGAGGTTTGGAAAAGTGTGAGTCCGGTTGTCTGAGCCTCGTCTGCCGTCGGAGCCTGCGTTGGAACGTCCTCCTGCCAAGGAGTCCTCAGGTTTCCCTTGTACTGTTGCAGGTGGCGCTCGTGTTTCCCAACAGTGACCCCGTGATGTTCATGGTCGCGTTTTATGGGTGTCTCCTGGCAGAGCTGGTTCCGGTCCCCATAGAAGTGCCATTGACAAGAAAGGTAGCAAGCCTGGGCTGGGCGTTCTGCACTTGGTGCACGGGGGGCCAGGCCTGGCTTCTCTTCAGCTCTGGCATGAGCTGGGGTGTGCCCTGCCTTGAGGAAGGTGGCCCCAGGCCAGCTGGCCAGACTTCAGCATGAAGTCAGGTGCCGTCTGTCCCCAGGCTGAGGTGGGGATTGCCGCCCTGCTGGGGGAGCCTCCTGGTCACCCGGTGAACTTCCCGGAAGGAGCGATGGGCACTCTCTCCTCCAGGGAACAGAACGTGATTCTACAAGGCTCTGTTAGGCCTTTGCTCAAAACCAGGTGGTAGTTAGTGTTGAATAAACAAGATAAAAGGTCCCATGTGTTTCTCTTCTTGTCACTGATATCTTGACACAGGGAGCATGCTCCACCATGTGAGATGTAAACATGGGGAATCTCACTGTAGAAAACACCACTTGGGGGCAGACTGGGCCTGTGTTTTAGAAAGTCCGATTCCTGCACCTGACTCAGGCAGCCTTGAGCGAGCACGGGAGCCACAGCCCTGGTCAGGAGTACCACGGTGAGGCTTGCACACGGAGCCAGAGTACCCTAAAGGAAGCCGTAATCAGGTATTAGAACAAAATGACTCCCAGGAAAGAAACTGGAGATGGGTGAAGCTTAGGTGAAGAGAAGCGCACGCCGTGCAGCAGGGTGTGCACAGGTGTGAGAGCCGCAGCCAGGGCTTTCTTGTGGCTTAGCTCATGCTGATAAGGCCAGCCTCCCCGAGTCAGCTCGTAAATTTTAATCATGATGCGACAGAAATTTTAATGCTGTTATTTTTAGAGCTTATTAAGATGCGTTTAAATGTCATTTGCAAGAGTGAACTTCTTAGCCCTTTATCCAGAACCTTATTTTACTGCAAAACAAATTTAAAAAATGCATTTTAAATTTAAAAACGATTCTCTTATTTTTATGTGCTATTTCCCTGAAAATATAATAACCTGCCAGTGATAGGACTGAATTGTTCTAGAAGTTTCCTGAGCTTGGAAACAGCTCTGCTCTCTGTGAGAGCTGGAGCACTAAGGGCCAGTGCTGTGGCTCTGCCGGTGCCCACTTGCCCTCTGTTGCCTGTCCTCTGCAGGATGCAGGCAGCCAGCAGGTTGGGTTTCTGCTGGGCAGCTGTGGTGTCACCCTGGCCCTGACTACAGATGCGTGTCAGAAGGGCCTGCCCAAGTCACAGACGGGAGAGGTGGTGACTTTCAAAGGTGAGCCTCCAGGGTGTGAGGAGTGGGCTCAGCTAGCACGGTGCCGCTGGGCCTGCCGCTCCAGGAAGTGCACTCAGTGAGTCTCCGTTTTTGTCTGCTTCAGTGTCTCTACCCCTTCTGTCCACGGTTGTGGCCACTGGCTAGATTTACCTATTTAAATGAAGCAAAATGAAGTGAGACTAAACTTGGCTAATGGCCGTGTGTTGGATGCGTGTTGAACGCAGGCTCCTGTTGTGGGGAGCAGGGCCCTCCAACTCCAGCGCAGTGTTCCTGTCTGTGTCACAGGCTGGCCCCCCCTCGCCTGGCTGGTGATTGATGGGAAGCATTTGGCCAAACCCCCCAAGGACTGGCTCCCTCTGGCTCAGGACACCGGGGCTGGGACTGCCTACATCGAGGTGAGTGAGCCCCCCACGTGTGTCCCCATGGGCTAGCTGCTATGTGTCATGACCTCGGGTCGAAGTTCCCCTTAGGTGTGGTCTCTGTCCTGGAAAGAGGAAGTGTCCTGCAGGACCTTGTGCAGACCTTAGGTTCTATCCTGGGCACCTGCTGGGTTCCTGGAGACTGGCCTGATGCGTGAAGAGCTTCAGGGTGGCCAGTGAGGGGAGCCCTGCCACTGCCCCGGTGCCCCATCAGCCTGCTCACACAGTCTCCGGGATGCCACATGACGCTCTTTCTCCTTGAAACCTTTCAGTATAAGACCAGCAAAGAAGGCAGCACCGTGGGGGTCACGGTGTCCCACACGTCCCTGCTGGCACAGTGCCGGGCTCTGACCCAGGCCTGCGGGTACTCAGAAGGTAAGGGCGCACGTGGCAGCATGGAAGCCCTTCCACCCCACGCAGTCCTAAGCACCCATCTTGCCTGAGATTGTCCCTGCAGTGTGGCGTCCAGCCTGGAGGCCTGTGCCCTTTCCTCCAGCCGCCACGTGGGCAGCCGTGCTGGCAACATGAGACCAGACATGTTGCAGACCTGGTGACCCCTCAGGGCCATTTCGGCCAGTGCACAGGTATTGACTTAGAGGCTGCACACAGGGGAGTTGTGTGTCTGTGATGGGCTGCCTCTGAGACGGGCAGAGCTCTTGGTGAGACGTGCTTTTGCCAGATGCCCTCTCACATCTGCTGTCCTGCAGGTAAATACTTGGGTGGGTCTTTGTGATCATAGGTTACCTCTTGGGAAAGGACAGGCAGCTCCCAGTTTTACTGTTGAATATCAGGTATTTAGCCTGGAGAAATATTGTAAATTGATTTTTAAATCAATGTTTTGTATTGATAGATAATTGGTATTTGTAGGGTCCAATGTGAGAAATGTTTTTAGGACCTTCCAAGTGGGCCCAGGTAGTTTTCTTTCATAGTAAATGCTCGAATAAAACCTGGAAGTAACATCAAATATCATGCTCAAATGTCTAGAATACAGGTGTTTAAAGCAAGGGGCAGCATGTGGACATAGCTCAAGCTTCAGTGGAGACTTGGGAGAGGTTCTGGGTGTTTTCCAGGGGTCTCTTCCTCTTGGGACCCAGAGCTGGCCTCATGTGTGCCACCTGTGACATGACCTTGTGCTGCTGCAGGCATCACGGTTCAGAACAGCAGCTTTACCGCACTCAGGGTGACCCTCCTGTCCCTGGTTCTCCCAGCATCTGCTTTGAGCTCCTGGGTAGCCCTGGCCTTTGGACCCCAGGGTCTGTCCTCTGCCCCCTGAGAGGTGGCATCCAGAGGCCTTGGCCTGGTTTCCTCCCCTGGAGAAGATGAAGGGTAGCTTCTGGAAGGCGGCTTAAGCCACCAGCTCTTCAGGAGGGGGCATGGGACTATGGCCTCTGGGTGGAGAGCTGGGGATCTGTGTGATGCGAGGCAAGGTGTCTGTGTCAGTCCGACACCTCACCTCTTGATTCTGAGGAGTGTCCACTCAGGGTGTCTGGTGAAGCAGGTGGCCACCTGTCCTGCAGCTTTTTCAGGATCTGACCTTCCCCGTCTTTAGATCTGTGATCAGCAAGGTTCTCTACTTCAGTTCAGAGCTGTGTGTTTCCGGGAATTTGACAGACCACCACTGTCATCGCTGGTTGGTTAGTGCATTGTGTCTGAAAATGCCATTCTGGTCCTTACGCTCAGTCGTGTTGGTGGTATACGCGTCTTGGAATTTCTCTAGAACACACACAGCACAGCTGGTTATGGTGGTGCACACCTGTCATCCAGCAACTCAGGAGGCTGAGGCATGGCGATCACATGTGTGAGGCAGGCTGGGCAACTTAGCAAGGACCTGTCTCAAAAAATGTAAAGGGCTGGGGTGTAGCCCAGAGATAAAGCAAGAGAGATCCTGGCCTTTTGGTTCAATCCCCAGTACCAAAAGAGAGAAAAAGGAACACAGCTGCTGGTTGTTAACCCCCTTGTGCGCTTTCAGCTGAAACGCTAACAAACGTGCTGGACTTCAAGAGGGATGCTGGTCTGTGGCACGGCGTGTTGACGGTGAGTGCTGTTGGCTGTCCTGTCTTGTTCCAAGAGATGTGCTGGGCCCTGAGGGAGTGGGGTGAGGATGCGCTGTTCTGTTGGCTTCTGGCAGGGCTGTGCTGCTCACCCAGTGTGTCTGTTTTTCCTGCAGAGCGTCATGAACAGGATGCATGTGGTCAGCATCCCGTACGCGCTCATGAAAGCCAACCCACTCTCCTGGATCCAGAAAGTGTGCTCCTACAAAGGTACAGCACCATGCTGCGCGCTACCCTCTTGGACGTCTCTGAACTGCGTTTGTGGATTACAAACAATAAAGCCAGAAAGTAGGACCATGGGTGCAGGTGGCCCTTGGCTGAGCAGGTCAGCCTGTGCAAGGCAGCAGCCATTTGGAAAGGAGCAACTGAGCTTAGTATTTGAATGCTCTTAATCTGAATTTAGGGTTTTTGAAGTGACCAGTGACAAAGCTTTGATAGGTGGAATGACTTGTGGTGAGATGGGGCTACCAGCAGGGCCCTGTTTCCCTGACCCCAGTGGTCAGTGTGCCCCCAGGATGGAGGAGGCCGTGGCACAGGTTGCTGGCTCGGCTCGGACCTCCCCTGTGTGCCTGGTAGAGCCGCATGCCTGAGGCCCAGACTCTCCTGGGCACTGTGTTCCCCTGTCCTGCCTATGGTAGCAAAGTATGCTGTGGGGTATGTTCCGAGCAGTGTCTGACCGCAGCTGTCTGTTCATCCAGCTTTACTGAGGGAACTGAAGCCTGCAGGAAGGGGTGGAGTCAGAGCCTAGCCAGGCTTCCCTCTCCTCTGTACCTGGAGGCTAGCCAACCTGGCAGGGCAGGCAGCACTGCGGTGCAGACAGTGGCTGTCATCAACCAGGGCTAGTAACTCGGGAGAGACGTATGAGGCCACACAGGCAAGTGTGTTTAGAGCAAGGTGGAGCTCCAGACCACAGTGAAGTAGAGGTGGCTCTGAGTCTGTCACCTCAGATGGCATCTCAGAGTTGACTTCTGAGGAGAAGGTGTGGGCAGGTCAGGCAGCTGTGAGAGAAAGCTGCAGGCCGCACAGGGGCTGGACGCAGGCCCCGGCGCCCTGGGGCCTGCCTCTGCATGGGTGGAGGAGATGAGCCAGAGGAGGAGGCTGAGCCCTGCAGCACGTGCTCTCTCTCTCTGCAGCCCGGGCTGCGCTGGTGAAGTCCCGCGACATGCACTGGTCTCTGCTGGCTCAGCGAGGGCAGAGGGATGTCAGCCTCAGCTCACTGCGGATGCTGATTGTGGCCGATGGTGCCAACCCATGTGAGTAGGCCAGCCCTCAGTGTCCCCTTCCGCAGACCTGGGCTCTCCAGGGAGTCTGGATACCCTCTAGAAGTAGAATCTGTGGAGAAACAAAATTAAGCCCCTTTCATGTCAGTGTCAAGTAACACACAAACGTCGTAGGATGTGCCTGGCACCTGTGCTTACTGCCGCTGCACTGCACGTGTCATGCCTGTTGGTTACGGTGCTGACTTTAAAAGCAGTTTTAACCATCCACAGAATGCAACTTGACATGTCGTCTTTTTTTTTTTGGTACTGGGGGTTGAACTCAGGGGCACTTGACCACTGAGCCACACCCCAGCCCTGTTTTGTATTTTATTTAGAGACAGGCTCTCACTGAGTTGCTTAGCACCTTGCTTTTGCTGAGGCTGGCTTTGACCTCGAGAGTCTCTGGGATTGTCATGTCGTCTTTCTTAAGAGAGCACCAGATTGTGCAGGCAGCGGGGTCCTCTCTTCCTTGGCCCATTCCCCACTGCTCTGGCTCCTGGCCCAGCTTCTCCAGCTGGGGTGGCTCTTCTTCCTGTGTGCAGGCCTGTCCCGCCCCACATTGCCCCAGACGGAGATCCCGTGGCTGTGGTCCGAGCCCTCGGACCTTCCTGTGCACAGTGGTGGACTGCAGAGGCTGCCGGGGCTCTGGAGCAGGCTCAGGCGGCCCTTGTGGAGCAGGGCTGTTGTGTGGCCTGTGCCTGCTGACCAGGTGGCAGAAGTTTCTTGTTGACTGAACTTGTATCAGCCAATGTCTCCGAGTCCCCTGAGGTAGAAGAGGTTTGCAGTGAATCCGTGGGTGGTCACAAGGCCATGCTGACTCAAGCCCTGAGCAGGCAGGAGCTGACATCACACATCACCAGCACCCACTCGTAAGGCCTGCCATCCCTGGCTGTGACAGGACCCTCCCAAGAAGAGGAAAAGCCAAGGGCTAGGGCGCAGAGGTAGTCCTGCTGCCAGCATGCAGACTGCACAGCTCAGGCTCCTCCAGGAGCTGGGTGCGCCCCGCATGGTCTTGGTGCGGCAGAATGTTTGGGCCACAGGCATCCCTCAGCTGACTCTGTTGGCAAAGCCTCTAAGGAGCACAAGGCTGGGGAAAGCCTCTGACTTGCTACAACTGGAAGTGTTTCATGTGCCCCCTGCACACAGCCCACCTTGCAGGCAGGCTGCCCTGAGTTGTGGTAGTGACCTTTCCTAGCAGGGCTGTGTGCTCAGGGGGACCTGGCTGGCAGGTGCATCTGCCAGGCCTGTGGCCTAGAGTCTTACCATCCCCCGGTGCCTTCACATCATGCCATTGCTCCCCAGGGTCCATATCCTCCTGCGATGCCTTCCTCAACGTCTTCCAGTCCCGAGGCTTGAGGCCAGAGGCCATCTGCCCCTGTGCCGGTTCTCCTGAGGCCCTGACGGTCGCCATCCGCAGGTAAGCCCATCCCGAAACCTTCCACAGTAGGAGTCTGTCCTGACGTCCTGGCATCTCAGGGTTCCAGGCTGCTGTGCAGCAGTGCCGCTCGGGCCCAGCCCCTTGCAGCCCAGACATATGCTGGGCGTGGGAGGGTGGCTCCCTCAGCTGTGTGGGACCCTGCGGCGTCGGGCATGTGCTTTCCTAAGTGCTTCCTCCCCAGGCAGTCTTGCCATCGCATCCTTGGCCTCAGTGAACATACTCCTGATGAGCTGTCCCTTGTTCCCAACTGGCCAAGGATGGGCCTGGAGAGGTGCCAGCCCCTGACCCTCATGGGTCCCAGCACCACCTGGTTGTTGCCATGGTAGTCTGTGGCAGCATGGTCAGTGGTGCTGGGAGGCCACAGACACCTGAGCTCCTGGCTCTGGGCTCCTCCTGTGTCCCGTGCACATGCCACTTTGCTCCTCCTCTCATGCCCAACCTGCCCAGCAGCTCCTGTGGCCTGCAGGCCGTTACCCACAGCTGAGGGTCTTCATTAGCTTCCTGCTCCAGCACTGTCCTTGCAGAATTACCTCAGTGCAGGCACAGGTGCTCACAGATACCGCTTGTGGAGTAGCCTGCGTCCTAAGGTAGCATTAGAAACCCCTTTGCCCTTTACATTGAATCACCCCTCATTCCTTTGTTCTGGGGTGACTTGTTTCTGTTGGTATATAAACACAGTGGAACATTGCTCAGCGTTAAGAGAATAAAATCATGGCACTTGCAGGTAAATGGATGAGTTGGAGAGTATCAGGCTAAGTGAAGAAGCCAAACCCCCAAAACCAAAGGCCAAGTGTTTTCTTTGATATGAGGATGTTGACTCATAATGGTGATGGGGGGGCATGGGAGGAACAGAGGGACTCTAGATTGGGCAAAGGGAACGGACGGGATGGGAGGGGGCGCGGGGGTAGGAAAGACGGTGGAATGAGTCATACATCATTACCCCAAGTCCATGTATGAAGACACGAATGGTGTGAAAATACTCTGTGTACAACCAGAGACTTGGAAAATTGTGCTGTGTGTGTGCAATGTGAAGTGAATTGCATTCTGCCCTCATATATAACAAACTAGAATAAATAAATGATTTAAAAAAGAAAAAAGAAGTGCCTTTGCCCTTCACACTGGATCCCCCTCGTTCCTTTGTTCTGGAGACCTGTTTCTCTTGAGCTTGTCATCTTTCCTCCCTGAGCAAGTGCTGTGCTGGGTTTCCTCAGGGCTCTGGTCAGGCTCTGCCCAGCTGGTGGCTCACAGTGGCTGGGGTCTCCTGGTGCTCCTGTGGGCAGGCTGTGGGCCCCTCTGCTCCGCCTCTGTGCTGTGTGGGGAGAGGGTGGCGGCTCTGCGGTATGCAGGCTCAGGCCACCTCGTGGCTCTTCTTGGCCCCCTCAAGCGCCCTCATGCATATGGCCTCAGCCTCTGTGAGCGGACTCCAGCAAGCATCCTGAGATCACCCACGTGGAAGCCGAGTCACCTTTTTTTTTTTAATTGTCAGTAGACCTTTATTTAATTAATTTATTTGCGTATTTATACGTGTTGCTGAGGATCAAACCCAGGGCCTCACACATGCTAGGCAAGCACTTTACCACTGAGCTACAGCCCCAGCCCCCTGAGTCACCTTTATGTCCTCCCTGGGAAGTCACGGTGCCATTTCTCTGGGATGGAGGCGCATCAGGGCTCCGCTGTCCCAGGAGTTTTGAAACAGTCTGATGGTCCCTGGCACCGAGCAGCTGCTTTGCTGTGGTCTGGGGCTGCTGGCCAGGCAGGTGCCCTCCCTGAGCCAGCCTGCTGGTGCTCTTATTTCCAGGCCGCCTGACCTGGGGGGACCTCCTCCAAGGAAAGCTGTGCTGTCCATGCATGGCCTGAGCTACGGCGTGGTCAGAGTTGACACTGAGGAGAAGCTGTCTGTCCTCACTGTCCAGGACGTGGGCCAGGTGATGCCTGGAGGTAAGGCCACCAGAGCAGCTGCCCGCTGCAGCCGACACAGGCTGCCTGGGCGGTGCTCTGGAAGCATGTCCACGTCCAGGATGCTCAGAACTGCTTTCCATCTGTACAGTGCTTTTCGACCTCTCCCTCCCTTTCTGTTAAGTTGGGGGACGAGGTGAAACACAGCCGTGCTGGTGGCCAGTGAAGTCGACCTGTGGTCATGCTGTGGTGCTCGGTGCTGGCCCGAGCTTCATGCCTCCTGGCCCGGTGCCTGTGCGGAGGCTTGGAGGAGGTCACGCTGGCCAGTGACTTGCTGTCGAGATTCCCGAGGGGCACTTGTGAGAGGAGGCTGGTGAGGAGGTATCCCAGAAGTTCCTGTGGATTCCAGAGAGGCCCACGTGCCCTCCCACAGAGTTGGCCTGTGGGCCAGAGGTCACGGGAATGTTGGGATCACGGCCCCGTGGCAGTGCAGCAAGCAGGAAGGCGAGCAGCCTGTCCATGGTGCAGTCTCACTGAGGAAGCAGCGTAGAGCCTGGCCCTGGAGGCCCTCGGCGATTCCCTGGCTCTGAGGTTGCCACCTCTGTGACAGCCTACTGGGACCCATAGGCAGCTATCTTGCTCTTTTGGTGATGTCTAGAGGCATCCAGTCACCCTTGTCCCCGTGCTGTCTGCCTGTGTCAGGTCACAGGACGTGCAGGCTACCTGGCATCCTGGCCTGGCTGCAGCCCTCCCTGCAGCCTGTCTGCACAGGTGGCCTTGTTGACAGGCATGGGCTTCTCAGGTGCAGTGCTGGGAGCTCCAGTGGAGAGCCATGGACAACACCTGACCAGGGGTGAATGCACAGTGCCCTCAGGTGTTGTGTGCACATTCCCCTCCCAGGTGTTGTGTGTACGTCCCCCCTGCCAGGTGCTAACCCCAACCCTCCGTGTGAGTATGCACAGTCCCCCCAGGTGTTGTGTGCACAGTCCCCCCAGGTGTTGTGTGCACAGTGCTCCCCTAAGTGTTGTGTGCACATCACCCCCTGCCATGTGTGAGTATGCACAGTGCCCCCCAGGTGTGAGTGCACAACAAAGCCCAGGGCCTCAGGCATGCTCGGCAGGCACTCACCACAGACCTCATCCTGGCCGTCTACTGCCTGTAACTAGTGTCATGTGACATGGGAAGACTTAATAACTAGGTGGAGTGTGTCTGCACACATTTACGTCATAAGTCTTACAAGAACTTGTGGTGTCTGTAATGTTTCCGGAACTTCAAATATGGCAGCAGCAAGTAGGGCTTTGTGGGTGATCCGCTTACATAAATTCTTTACTCATGGCCTTGAATGTCTTTCTCTTTTTAGCTAGTGTGTGTGTTGTGAAGGTTGAAGGTACCCCGTATCTTTGCAAGACTGATGAAGTTGGAGAGATCTGTGTTAGTTCCAGTGCAACTGGAACAGCATACTACGGATTACCTGGAATCACAAAAAGTGTGTTTGAGGTTTGTGCCTTTTCCTGGTCTTTGTGTTGAAGTCAAGACCCCCCACTGGTGTTGATGGGGCCCTGGGGTGCAGGGTACCAGAGGCTACGATTGCTGCTGTAGGTGCACTCTACCCTGAACAGGGGAGGCTGGGACAGCCTGGCCAGCAGGAAGGCCTAGAGAGGCCTCTGCTGAGTTTGCCTCTTTACGACACTCATTGCTCATACTAAGTCTGGTGAGGCCAGCCAGGTATAGCCAGGCACCGGGCAGACGTAGACGTGAGGGCCGCCTGAGCCCTGCTTCAGGAACCGTTCAGGCAATGGAGGAATCCGACCCATAAAACAGGGCAGGAGGCCAGGGACCTTGGGAGTCCAGGCCACAGCCTTGCGGTCTCTCACTCCACAAAATACGGGTATTTTCACAGCTCTGTGTTATGGAGGGTGGGGGGTCTCACCTGCCCACCAGTCCACAGCCTGACGTCTCCTGCTCTGTACAGACTGTCCCTGTCACGGTAGGAGGAGCCCCTGTCTCTGAGAGGCCTTTCACCAGGACAGGCCTGCTGGGCTTCATTGGGCCTGTGAGTATGTCCTCTTGAACCAGGGTGGCAGTTGGGGTGGACCAGGTGGGGGCAAGGGACACTTCACCTGAGTTCTGTGTGCCCCAGTTGGTCATGCTGACCGTGCCTGCATGTGGCGTTATCTGTGTGCAGGGCTGTCCACACCCCTGTGAGACCAACCTGCAGACCATACGCAGCCTGGGGGCTGCTGGAGGTGGGCCAGGGTGCCAGGTGCATGGGCGTGATGCTGCTCTTTACCACTTTGGGTGTCTGAAGTATTTAGATTTGCTTTGTAACGTCTGACCCCACAATTCTCAGCAGGGTGGACTCACTCCCTGCTCCCAGGAGACATTAACGTGTCGTTGCTTGGGGAGGGGAGTGCCACTGTCAGCTCATGGGTCTCTAGAGGCCAGTGTGCTGCTCGGCATGCGCCTTGTGGGGCACAGTGCCTGTGACAGGATGGTCAGCCCAGGGTATCAGGTGCCACGCTCAGGAACCCCGCCCTCAGCCAGTGGCTTCCAGTGTCCTTTGCGGGGTTTCACCCACGACCTGAAGCCCTCGGAGTCTGGCTTACCCCCAGGCCGCCACACCTCCCAGTAGCTTCCTTCACCCGTAGCCCTCACCTGCAGCCCTCACCTGCAGCCGTTGCTCGCCTTAGTGCCTGAGGGTGCTGCAGCGCTCTGCACCCTATGTTGAGAGGCACTGGGTTTAGGTGGGGCTGACCACACCCCTCCCTAGGACAACCTGGTTTTCGTCGTGGGCAAGCTCGACGGGCTGATGGTCGTGGGAGTCCGCCGACACAATGCAGACGACGTCGTGGCCACCGCTCTGGCCGTGGAGCCCATGAAGTTTGTCTACAGAGGCAGGTGATGCGCTGCAGACCCTGCGCTGTGGGTTTCAGTTCCCCTCCAGTTAACGTTTGGGAAGTCGGTGCAGTGGAAAGAAAGCCAGTAAATCTAGGTTTGCAAAACCTAAGAATTTCTGTATATCAGAAAAACATCACAAAGGAAAAGAGAAGTGTTTGCAACAGCGATACCAGAGTTAATGTCTGCACTACCCAAGGAGTTTGTTCACTTCCTTAAGAGAGCCAGGCCCAGGTAGGCGTATCAGACCCTAGATCGGGTCTAGAGAAGCCCCCCACTCAGAAAGGCCCTCAGGCAGGCTGTGTGGGCCCATGTCTGTAGGGAAGGGCAGCCCCAGCCTGGGTGCAAGTGCCTTGCCAACAGCCTGCCCCTCGCAGGGACCCTGTGGGTGCAGGTGTGTGGGAGGATGGCATCAGGGTAGCCTCACCCTGCTTCTCGGGTGAGCTGGGGAGGCTGCCTCCTCATGTGCAGTGGCTACCTGAATTGACACAGTGATGCCAGCCAGCTGGTCGGCAGGGGCAGTGGTGATTGCATCTGCAGACAGGTAGGCTGTTGGCCCCCAGGGGGGCTGAGGAGTACAGGGTCCTGAAGCGAAGCCATAGCCAATGGCCTGTGTGTGCTCTTGGAAAAAGACACAGTAGATGGATGAGGACAGCTGGGCAGGGAGGGACACCTGGCAAGCCAGGTAAGAAGCTGCTCAGAGTGCAGAGAGAAAGCTCAAAGGCCGCAGGGGTGAGGAGAGGAGGGCCTCGGGTGGTGGCTGTGGGAAGGGGTGCTGGAGGGCAGGACAGGCAGGGCAGGCAGGAGGCGCGCCCTGGATGCGCCAGCACAGGGGCTGCTGTGCCAGGAAGCCAGGCAGACACCTCAGGCAGCACAGGGACCTGCATGGGTTTCAGTGAAGTATGGCTCCCCAGCCCAGGAGCCTCAGCGATTTTACCACAAAACAAGGCGTATGGAGAACGCTGTTAGACAAGGCTCTAAGAGAAGTGCATTAGGATGTGCTACGGAGAGGCCAGTGAGGGACATACTGGGCCAGGTCTCAGATAGAAGCACCGCGGGGGGTGTCAGGTGTGTGGGTTGTGTGTGTGGAGCATGTCAGGTGTCGGGGTTGTGTGTGTGGCGCGTGTGTGTGTTGCTGGATGTATGCAGGATGTGGTGGTGTGCATGGGATCTGTGCAGAGTGTGTGTGCTGCTAAAGGACAGAACGAGAACGTGTGCCGTAAAAGCTCAGAAGGGACTGCTGCCTCGAGCAGGAGGGGTCTGGTGGGAGACCCGCTTCTCACTGCCCGGGGAAAAGGTAGGAGGAAAGGGCAGCAGGGGAGGAGATGGTGAGAGCGCCGAGGCCAGACGTAGGGCAGGCCCACGCTTGTCCGTCGAAGCGAGCTGACAGGTGAGCCGGTGCAGAGCGCAGCGCCTGGGGTTGAGGACTGCACGAGCTTCTGACCAGGACCTGCACGAGCCAGTGAGGCACCGCCTCAGTGCTGGAACAGGGGCCGTGCTGATGCTGCATGCCGAGGGCTCTCCTGTCACATGCTGGGCCTCTCCCCTGCCCCAAGGAGGCTAGGCTGGGTCACTGTGCATTTGCTGTAGAGTTTGTTCACCAGGCTGACTGTGGTGAGGGCAAAGCACTTGTGTCCTCTGCTGTGTGGTCACTCTTGCCTGGTCCTCCCTCAGGATTGCTGTGTTCTCTGTGACTGTGCTGCATGATGACCGGATTGTCCTGGTGGCTGAGCAGCGGCCCGACGCCTCTGAGGAGGACAGCTTCCAGTGGATGAGCCGCGTGCTGCAGGTGGGTCCTTGGGAAGGGGACCCCGAGGCACTGGGGTGTGTGCATGCCACGGAGGTCGCAGGACCCCACACTGCAGTGTCATTTCCCACTTTGACATCTTTGCAGTACAGTATTCCACGGGTAGCAGGCGTAGACACCTGTGTGACAGCCCACGTTCCCCTCCCTGGAGGCTGGGTCTTTGTTTCCGTATGAATTTTAGGATTTTCTTTCTAGTTCTGTGAAGAATGTTATACAACATTAACATTTTGGTGGGAATTGCATCAAATCTATAGGTTTCTTTTGGCAATATGGCCATTTTAATGATATTTATTAGGCCTCTTTGTGACCATGGGAGATCTTTCATCTTATGTTCTCTTCTTCTATTTCTTTTTCCTTGTAGAGATCTTTCACCTACTTGGTTAGATTTATTCCTAGGTTTTTGTTTAGTTTTTTTGAGGCTATTGTGAATGGAATTATTTTCCTGATTTGTTTCTCATGAGTTTATTATTGGTATACAGGAAAGTTGATTTTTTTTTTTTTTTTTGTATGTTGGTTTTGTATCCTGCTACTTTGATGAATTTGTTTATTAGCTCTATAATCCTTTGATGGAGTCTTCAGGGTCTTCTGGGCATATGATAATATCTGCAAATAGGGATGATTTAACTTCCTCTTTTCTTATTTATCCCTTTCCTTTCTTTCTTTTCCCTAATTGCTCTGGCTAAAATTTTAACTACTGTAATGAATAGGAATGATGAGAGCAGACATCCTTATTTCATTCCTGATTTAAAGGAAATGCTTTCAGTTTTTCCTCATTCGGTGTAATGTTGGTTGTGGGGTTGTTACATATAGCCTTTATTATGTTGAGGTACGTTCTTTCTATCCTTGGTTTCTTTAGGGTTTTTCTCATGAAGGATGTTGAATTTTGTCAAAGGCTCTTTCTGCATCTGTTAAGATGATTACATGATTTTTGTCCTAACCCTAACCCCAAATAGATAAGACCAGAAAAGAACCTTTCTACTGTACATTATAGTTAAAATGCCAAAAACGCATATCAAAGAAAAAAATTTAAAACTGTAAGAGAGAAAGTCGAACCAATCAGAATAATAGCATCTTTCTCATCAGAAACCCGAGAGCCCAGAGGGGCATGCATGGCGTATCTCTGAAAAAAATGACTGCCAATCTAGACTGCTCTACACAGCAACGATGTCCTTCAGAACCAAGGAAGAATCACAGACTGTTACCACCAAGCAGCACTGCAGAAGGTGCCGGAAAGGATTCTAAAAAGAGACGAGGAGGATAAAAATAACCGGAAGGGCATGGGGAAAAATAAATCTTGTAAGAGTAGAGAAGCAAGTGAAATGAAGAGCAAATTAAATTTCAGAAAGGGAACAAAATGACAAGAAGTAATACACAGTCTCTAGAAAAACACTGACGTATATGATCTTTAACCCTCCAGTTACAGGTCGCACACTGGTCACTGATATTGGCCAGATCAAGTTGTTGATATTGTGTGCGTGTACTAACATATAACAACAAGTCACACCATTAGGTACAACTATAATGTGCTCATAAAATATGGAAAAATACACTAAAAAAGACATACAGTGGGAGACTGGATTTAAAAACCTATCTCTAGGGCTGGGGTGGTGGCTCAGTGGTAGAGCGCTAGCCTAGCACACGTGAGGCACTGGGTTCAATCCTCAGCACCACATACAAAAATAAATAAAATAAAGTTATCATGTCCATCTACAACTAAAAATATTTAAAAACAAACAAACAAAAAAACCTGTCTCTGCTCTGTGTTGTCTACAAGAAGCCCACCTATGGGTAAGACGTCTGCAGACTGGAAGTGAAAGAAGGGAAAACAATATCCCCTGTGAATGGAATCTCAAAGCCAGTGGGAGGAGAGAGAGGGTACTACTGGCGACAAAGGAGCAGTCCAAGAAGATACAGCTGCATCTTGTGTGTTCAGCGACCCAGTTTCATGAAGTGATGCTACTCAACATAAGGGAACAGATAGAACCCAATACAACACCAATGGCTGACACCAATGTGCCATCCTCACTAATGGAGAGGCCTTTCTGATGGAAATCAACGCACTGCAGGATCAGTACTTGTCATCAAATGGACTTGACAGACACCTACAGACTATTTCATCCAACAAAAAGTGAACACTTCCTTTTAGTTGCTGAGAGAACTTACTCCAAAAGAGATTATATATTAGACCACAAAGCAAGTCTTAGCAAATGCAAGGAAAAAGATAAAATAAAAACAACCCCTGAAATAATTGCTTCTATCTTATTGGACCATAAAGAAATGAATTAGAAATTAGCAACAAGAAAAATGATACAAACTGTAAAACACATGGAGCTTGAGTAATATACATCTGAATGATGGCCATGTGGAGAATGTCTGTCTGGTTCTCAAGGCTCAGAAAGTTTCCTGAGTCTTAAGTTAGGTCTCTTCGTGTTGCTCTAGAGTTCTTGTACATTTGGGGAATGAGGGGGATGCTCAATCACTGAGCCACATCCCCAGGCCTTTTTATTTTTTATTTAGAGATGGTCTCACTAAGTTACTTAGAGCCTTGCTAAGTTGCTGAGGCTGGCTTTGACTTGTGATCCTTCTGCCTCAGCCTCCCGAGTTGCTGGGATCACAGGCGTGTGCCACCGTGCCTGGCTAGAGTTCTTGTACATTCTACAGAGTTTCTAATTTTTCTTTTTTGCTGTCTCTGTGATCAAGTTGTTTTCTACACCTGAAATTCCATCTTTTGCTTGATCTAGTTTATTGGTGAGACTTTTAACTGTTTTTTTTTTTTTTCTTTCATTTTTCTTTTGTAGTTCTCCATGGACAGAATGCCTTTATTTTATTTGTTGATATGGTGCTGGGGATCAAACCCAGTGCCTCATACGTGATAGTCAATGCTCTGCCATGAGCTACAGACCCAGTCCTTAACTGGGTTTTTATCTGATTATTTGAGCATTCATTTCCAGGGTTCGAGTTTGGCTCCTTTTCATAGTCTCTCTATTGAAATGCTCTTTCGTACCTATTTTGTTTCCCTTTGTGCATTCCTTAGGTATTTTCGTTCGTTGCTTCAGCAGTTGACTTTGCAGCATTTCTTCTTTGGCATCCAGGGTTGTTCCTGGAGGCATCCAGTGCCTTGTTTTCTCAGGCCTCCTGTGTTTCTGTGTGGAACTGTGCACATCTGCTGGGGTGGGTTTCTCCTCCACCTTAAAGTGAGGGCCTTTGTAGTGAGCTGTGCTCTGTGCCGTGTCCTGCCTGGGTTGTTTCTGTGTCCATGCACCCCTACTCAGTTCACAGTACTGGGACGCACCCTGCCTGCCAGGAGGGGGTGGCCAGCTGCAGGAGGTGGCCACCTGGGAATGATAGCATGCTGGGGGGCCACAAACACTAATCAGAGATGTGCCCTGCAGCTCCCCTAGTCCAAAGGGCGACGGGGCAGTAATGCCCTACAATAGGCTGGAAAAATCAGTAGAAAAAGTAAAATTAATATTGAACTATGGACAGAAAGAGCCAGCAGCAGAAAAAGGGAAGCAGAAGGGGAGGGAGAGAAAAGCAGCAGCAAGGAGAGAAGGTTATAGAGAGAAGGCAGAAGAATAGAGCCGGGATTCCATTGACACCTCACAGCATCCAGAGGAGCACACGGAGCTGGTCGAGGTGTCAAATAGGCAGGGAAGCTGCAGCCGCAGTGCAGACGGTATTGCCAGTTTGTCCGCTTTCTGTCCCTGTGACGGAAGACCTGACAACTTAGAGGAGGGAAGGTTTATTTTGGCTCAGAGTTTCAGAGGTTTGGTCCATGGTCAGCTGGCCCCAATCAGACACAGCATGGCAGAAGGGTGTGGCAGAGGAGAGCCGTTGGCTCATGGCAGCCAGGAAGGGGGCCAGGCCGGAGACAGGGCTGGAGCCAGGTGCTGTCCCCAAGACCATGCTCCTGCAGCCATACCACCTGCGTGTGGTTTTCCCCACCTCCCAGTAAATCCAAGTCTGTAATGCGTCAAGTGGATGAGCCGCTGGTGTGGTCCCAGCCCTCATGGCTAGTGTTTCCCCTGGGAACACTGGGCATCGCCCAGCGCATGAGCTCTTGAGGGACGTTCCAGATCCCAACCGTAACGTCAGTGACAGCTTAAAAAAATTAATATTGAAGCATCTACAGCTACTCCTTGCTGAGATACTCAAAATGGAGAGATTTCTTTTTATTGGTACAGGGATTAAACCTAGGGGTGCTTAAACACTGAGCCACATCCCCAGCCCTTTTTTTATATTTTAGTTAGAGAAAGGGTCTCGCTAAACTGCTTAGGGCCTTGCTATGTTGCTGAGGCTGGCTTTGAACTTGAGAGCCTCCTGCCTCATCCTCCCCAGCTGCTGGGATTACAGATGTACAGTGCCATGCCCAGCAAGACAGAGAGGTTTCTTACTGGGCCTTCCAGCTTTGGATTCCACCAGATACCTGGAGTATGTGTCCACCCTCGGCTGTGTGATCCGAGTGTCTCTGGATCCAATCTGTCTCTGGGTGTGACCACACCAGCCATTTCTGCTGGGCTGAGGAGCTCTATGTTCAGTTTTCACCACACTCAGCCTTATGCTTTCAAAACTGCCCAGAATTCAGGTACCTGCTCCATCCATTGACCTTGACCTGCCCACCTCTGGTGTGACCTTTCCAGGTGCCTAAAAGCCCTCAGGAGGGTCTGAGGGACGGGTCTGATTGTCTGTCCTGGTTTGAGGTGCTTCTAGGCTATCAGCTGCTCCCCCCTTTTCTGAGTAGCCAGGGGCTCTGAGCGTTCCATGAGGAGTCCTGGTGCTGCAGCCCTGGGCCTTGGTTTCCTGTCCAGTGTGGTGTCCCCTGGGCTTCTCCACATGGCTGGAGCCCATGCTCAGTGGGTCCTTCCCTTCCAGGCCATCGACAGCATCCACCAGGTGGGCGTGTACTGTCTGGCGCTGGTCCCTGCTAACACCCTGCCCAAGGCTCCCCTCGGGGGGATCCACATCTCTGAAACCAGACAGCGCTTCTTGGGAGGAACCCTGCACCCCTGCAACGTGCTGATGTGCCCTCACACCTGCGTGACCAACCTTCCCAGACCTCGTCAGAAGCAGCCAGGTCAGTCTGCCCAGCAGCCCCATTGTGACTGGGGGCCAGCCCTGAAGACCCTGCAGTGGTAGCTGCCACTCCCTGGGGCTGGGCCCAAGGGCCAGAGCCAGCATTTGCCAGTTGCTTAGCACCCTGCCTGCTGGCACTGGGCCAAAGTTGAGGAACTGTGGCCATTTCACCTGTGAGGATAATGGCAAATCCAAGGCCCACACCTGAGCTTTGGATGGCTAGGAGGTGGCTCCCTAGGGACAGAGATGAGGCCCAGAAACAGGCCTGGGCCTTGGGATCTGAGGAGCCTCTTGGCCACCATCATGCCCTGCTACCTGCTACCTGCCTCCAGCTACCTGCCCCCAGGCTGCCTTCCACAGCCCTGTACCTGTTAGAGTGGCCGGCTTCATAGGACCTTAGGGGTTTCTCAATGGCCAGTTGCCCATCCCTGACCTTATGGCTGGCTTAGCTGTTCATGCGATTTGTCATTGCCTTGGTCATGTAGACTTTGAGTGCAAGCCAACTTCTTGGAACACATAGAATGTCACTACATGAATACATGTCACCAGGAAGACTTAGTGTTCAGATTGACACAGAAATGCAGTAAAATGATAAAACATGTTAAGAATTTGGCTGAGGTCAGAGATGTCATATTCTCAGTTTCTCATTGTGCTTTAGTTTATATTTATGAGTGATTCTGTCAATCAGCGTAAACCCTTAGCTGGTTTTACAAACACTTGTGTTTTAGAGAAGACTAAAGTCGAATTCAGGTGTGTTTCAGAATAACAAGTGTGAGGGAATTTAGGCTCAGGGTGAGCCTGATTCCCAGCCCCAGCTTCTCCCTGGGAACCACTTCTAGAGGTTGGACCTGCATCCATGATTGTGGGGAACCTGGTGGCTGGCAAGAGAATCGCACAGGCCTCAGGGAGGGAGCTGGCCCACCTGGAGGACAGCGACCAGGCGCGCAAGGTAACGGTGGCTTTGGAGGGGGCCCGAGGCCAGGAGGTCTGGCAGGCGCTGAGCCGGGGCCCTCTGTGCAGTTCCTGTTCCTGGCTGACGTGCTGCAGTGGCGAGCGCACACCACTCCTGACCACCCGCTGTTTGTGCTGCTGAACGCCAAGGTGAGGCAGGCCACCGCATCTGGAACATAGTGGGCCTAAGGCTTTGCTCCCTGCTCCTTTGCTTATGAAACCTCGTTTCCATGCAGTTCACACAGTAGTATCTTGTATTAAACAAGAACATTCTCATTAACTTTTGTGTGTGTGTGTGTGTGTGTGTGTGTGTGTGGTGCTGGGGACTGGACCCAGGGCCTTGTGCACGTGAGGCCAGCTCTGCCAACTGAGCTGCATCCCCAGCCCATCAACTTCACTTCTAAAATCAAGAACAAAATACATGTAAATACCCGTAAGTTTGTGAACTAAAAGGAAATGTCTGTATTTTCAATCCCAGGCACTTAGGTTTCCTGTGTCTGTTCACACTGCCCAGTCCTCCTGTGATTGAACATGCTCCTCTGAGTATCTGGTCACCTGTTAGCGTACAGGTGGTGTCTGGGTGGGCGGGAGAGCTATAATGCCACGTCCAGGCGTGACAGGAATACAAGATGCAGAAACACAAGACTCCTGCTCCCTGCCGCCTGCTCAGCTTGTGTGAAGTCTCAAGCTTTGCGTAGGAGGGGCGGTTGCCGCAGTCTCAGAGGACACTGGGGCACCTGCTCACTCACAGACGTGTTGGTCCCATGTAATGTGTGGGCAGGACACTTTGAGTGACTCTCCCTGCTCGACACGCGTCCTGCAGGGGAGAAGCTCTTTCCTGGTCGTTTTACCTCTGAGTTCTAAAGTCTGCAGAGAGCGTGGTCAAGTGTTGGCAGGGTTCAGCCATGTGTGGTGAGAACCCAGAGATCAGAGAGGGGGAGTGCTGGGCAGGCTGCAGGCAGGCCCGGGGCTGGCGGCAAGGGGGCTGAGATTGGGAGGCCAGGGAGTGGGGACTGGCCTGGGGTTCTGGCCTTCATCCCAAGGGTGCACTGGGGTGCCCTGATAGGGTGGAGCAGCTGGGTGCACTCGTGGTCACAGTGGCTGCTCAGGACTGTAGAAGGGTGACTTTGGGGGCTGGGCACATAACAGCAGTGTGGAGCAGGGAGCCGGTGCCTGGGCGAGTGTGATGTGTGGCTGGGGGCATGTGTGTGAAGAGTGCACCCTGGGCTGCTGACCGAGGTCTTGGGTGGGTGCTCTCAAGGGATGAGGAAGCCATGGGGGGGGGGGGGGGTGGTGAGTACAGGTGCTGATTAAGCATCCATGTTCTTTTTGGCCTGTTTCTCCGTAAAGCAACAGGTCCCCAGGGACATGCTGCCCTGGGACCCAGGAACCTCCTCTGGTGGTGCAGGTAGAGGCTGTGGCCCTAGTGGACCTAGGCTTTGAGGTCTCAGAGCATGTGAGCCCCCTAGCCCTGTCAGTGCTTGGATCCTGCCCAGGGGGCTTCACTCTCACAGGGCCACTCGAGGTGCCTGGCCCCACACTGTAGACAGTGGGCACATCTGTGTCCTGGGTGGTGCCTGTGTGTTTGCACACCAGCATAGTGATGGTTGCCTTCCTAGGGCACGGTCACCAGTACTGCCACCTGTGTCCAGTTGCACAAGAGGGCCGAGAGGGTGGCTGCTGCTCTGCTGGAGAAGGGCAGGCTGGACGCTGGGGACCACGTGGCTTTGGTCTACCCCCCAGGTAGGTGCACACTTCGGACCATCCCTCCCAGCCTGCCTAAAGCCCCTCTGCCCCACACATGGCCGTCCCAGGCTCAGACCCCTCCAAGAGCCTCTTGTGGTTGGATGGGACCTCTGACCTGGTGGCCCCACTCTGGCAGGGTGGCAGGTGCTCAGCTCACTTGTGCCTCTCAGTCCAGAACGAGACTGTACCATCTCTCAGAGCCCAGATTCTGATTGTTTAGAACAAAAACAGAGATCTGGAGAGGCCTATGATAGAGTCCCCTGAGATAACCTTCCTCTAGCGCAGGCTAGGGCTGCAGGGTTCCACCCATCTGCTGAGGTCTCTTTCCTCCCCAAGACCCCTGGTTGTTCAGGATGGGAATGTCCTATGGTTGCTCATTGGCTTTATCTACTGTACAATGTGGACACTGCCTGTGTCCCTGCCCGCCTCACCCCTGCCCAACCCATGGCACTGAGCCCCTGATTCCTGGTGTCCTGTGTGGTCACTGCCCTCGTTCCTGCCCTCATCCCTGCCCACTCGCCCCTGCCCAGCCCACAGCATACTGTGTTGCTTTCTTCATCTGAATGTTGAACATGGCCTGTGGGGTGTTAGTAGTTGGGGTGAGGATGATGACTGAGGCCTGCAGTTTTCCCTGCTGTGGGTGTATCTGCTGTTCTTCATGTTGCCTGTTTGGGCCTTTTTTTGAGCCGACATTGGAGACAAGGGCCGTGTAAGCTAGGACAGCACTCTGGCTACTTTGCTGCATCTCAGCCCCATGTTTTAATGAAAAAAAAAAAGAAAGCTCCTGGTTTTTAATTTGCCTTGAAAGCCTGCCTGGGGGAGAGTGTGGTCTCGGGAAGAGCTGGTGTGCTGTGTGTCCCCTCTGCCTGGAGGTGGCGAGCTGGTGTGCTGTGTGTCCCCTCTGCCTGGAGGTGGCGAGCTGGTGTACTGTCTGTCTCTGGGCTGGCGAGACAGGTCCACATTTTGCACCCTGTTCTCAATGGCTCAGTGCCATTCAGGAATGCAGAAGTGGGGTGTAGGGACAGAGTTCCTGCCTTGTGTTTGGGGGTGCAGATACTTGGCAGGCAGCCCAAGTTCCTGGGCTGCAGGAAGAGGACCTCTGGCCAAGTACTTCTCTTGTGAGGCCTCCATGCGGGGTGCTCTCCTTTATTCTGCTGCCTTGTGCTGAGCTGCTGCCCGTGGTCCTCTTGAGTCACTAAGGGCCCTGGCAACTGTCAACTGGTAACACCCTCCCTGGCTGGACAGCCTAGGTCATTGTCCGTCTCATGTCCAAGATTGCATGTGGATGTTGCATATTCATTTGACTCTAAGAACGAGTGTCTGTAGCCTGAGGGTGCTGTGGGGTTGTCTCTGATTCCAGGCTGGCAGGACTTGGTGCTCTGGGCTCAGGGGGACCAGGGCAGGGAATGAGTTCTGTCAGACTAACTCTGGAAGATAGGCGTTAAGCATGGCACAGGTTCCCACAAGCCTTAATTATAGGGAATTTTAAACCTTTAGAGAAGTCGAGAGAGTGGTGGTTGGAACCTCTGGCCTAGTTTGGGTAAGAAGCAGGCAGCCCAGGGCCCACACCAGTGCCCAGGGCCCAGGAGTCTTGGCATTCGGGTGCTGCCCCTCCTGGTTTGGTCCTGTGGAAACCCTGTTACACTGGTGTGTCTCAGCCTCCTCTGAGGGTCAGTGTGTGCAGGCCTCAGTCCTTCCTGCTTCTGGGTCCCTCCAAGGGCACTACCTAGGCTCCTGTGCACCCCCAGTGCACCCTGTAGTGTGGCCCCTCCCACTGCCCGGCCCTCAGGGAGAGGGGGCTGACCTGACCTCCATGGGCTGCCTCTGTGCCCTTCCATCAGTGCTGGCCTCTGTAAATGCTGTGGCCAGACCGCGAGAAAATTTTTGCAGGGCCTGACTATGGATACCATGCTCTGGGCCCTCCTGACATCTGCTCGTCTTCTCAGGGGTGGACCTCATCGCCGCCTTCTATGGCTGCCTGTACTGTGGCTGTGTGCCTGTTACTGTGCGGCCCCCACACCCCCAGAACCTCGGCACCACGCTGCCCACCGTCAAAATGATCGTGGAGGTGCGTGCTGGGAGGGATACCACAGGCTAGGCTCTCCAGCTCACAGCCTCCTACTGTGGGCAGGGCTGGGCGGGATGCCACAGGCTGAGCTCACCAGTTCACAGCCTCCTCCCTCCTGGTGCAGGTCAGCAAGTCTGCGTGCGTGCTCACCACACAGGCCATCACACGGCTGCTCAAGTCCAAGGAGGCAGCTGCTGCTGTGGACATCAAGACCTGGCCAACCATCCTGGACACTGGTACGCGTCTTCAGCAGATGGCTCGTGGACAGACTCCTCTTTGTAGGGTTTCTTCTCCTTTTCATAGGGATCACACTCTTGCCATCCAAAATTAAGTGGTAGGGTGAATGACCAGCTGAAATGGGAGTGGCCTGTGCGGGGCATGTGACCTCCTGTGGAGTGTGCAGCCTGTGAGACCGCAGGACCCCGTCCCAGGTGTGACCTCCCCTTCCCAGGCCCATGTGCTGGGGTCTGTACCCTGCTGCCCTGGCTACCCCTGCTGCCTGCACAGCAGGTTGGCACTGTCTGAGCCTTCCACCAGCCCCTTGAGGACATTTCCCACTGTGTACCCTGACTCCTTCTGTCCCCATCACTGGAAAGATGCATGGCCGGGAAAGGGCTGGACCCTCTGCCTGGGCAGCTGGTTCAGCTTGGTGAAGCATGTCTCAGCCTAAGGTGAGACACCCAGCCCAGCAGCACCCCACAGCTCTGCAGTCACTGAGTACAAGCCAGGAGAGGGCCCTCCCTCCCCACTGCAGCCCGTGCACTCCATGATGCCACCAGAGCTGAAGCCAGGGACTGTGTAGTCCGTGGCTGCCACCTGGCACCATGAGGGACAGGAGGAACCATTTTCAGGGTAGCTGTTAAGGGGTCTGGCCAGAGCCTGTAGCCCAAGGGCTCACTTGCCTGGCCAAGCCTGTGTCGAGGGGCTGCTGCCTCATAGGTGTAAGAACTGGGTACCGCAGGCAGAGCCTGGAGCCTGCATGCCTGCTCTTGCTGGTGCTGCAGTTCTGGGCAAGCCCTCAGCCCTGTGGCTTCCTGTGCTGTCCTCGTAGCCTGGCCCCTGCTCCCCTCGCCCCACTTTCCCCTCATCACACACCTGCAGTATCTGTGTCAGCGTGGCCTCCAGACGCGGCCTGCTTCTGATGGGTGTGCGCTCTGGGCCTCACAAACACCAGTCTCCTCTCTCACCTGTTGAGGCCTCGGCACAGCACGTGCAGGGACGCTGACCTCACTGTGTCCCTGTTTAACAGATGACATACCAAAAAAGAAGGTGGCTACTGTGTTCAGACCACCCTCCCCGGATGTGCTGGCCTACTTGGACTTCAGCGTGTCCACCACAGGGATATTAGCAGGAGTAAAGGTGGGTCTTTGGAGAGAACTCCTGTGTGTTCTGCCCCTGGAACCCGCGAGAAGACAGGAAGGGTGGGCGTGTGGCTCAGGCAGGTCCTTCTTATCCAGACCGAAGAGCAACAAGCGTTGTGTCTTAAAATTTGTAAGGAGCACCAACAGACCCCCAGTGAGAGAGCCTGCAGGTCAAACTTACTTGGATGTCCAGCTTTCTGGCTTGTGACTGACCCCAAGGAATGGGGGGCTTTGATGAGTCCATTTCCTCATTAGGAGTGAAGAGCTCAACCTGGAATCTTTGCTCAAAGACTCTCCTGTGCCATTTCCTGGGGGTCTGTCAGGTGTCATGGGGATGGCAGCCAGCCGTCTTGAGGAAGTCAGTGTGAGGTTCTGTAGCTGGAGCTGCATGCCCTCCTGGCCAGGGGCTCAGTGGACACGGCTGCAGGCCCTCCTCCTTCTCACCACTAGTGACCGTTTCTTTCCTCCTCCAGATGTCGCACGCAGCCACAAGTGCCCTGTGCCGCTCCATAAAACTGCAGTGTGAGCTCTACCCCTCGCGGCAGATCGCCATCTGCCTGGACCCCTACTGTGGCCTGGGCTTTGCCCTGTGGTGCCTGTGCAGGTGAGTGTGGTCCACTCCTCTGGGCTCTGGCCGTTCCCGTGCTGCTCTAGGATTTGGCCTCCCGGAGGCTGGAGATGCATGTGAAGGCTTGCTTGGGATGAGGTGGTTGGAGTCGGGGTCTAAAACTGAAAGAGTAAAAGCATCTTTCACTAAAGGCAAGCACCATCCACCATCAGAAGCTGGAATAATCTGCCCAACTCCTTCAGATGCTAGAGAGGGGTGCTCTGTCTCTAGAGTTACGAGGCCTCATGGGGCCCAGCTTCTCCTCAAGTGTTTGAAGTAGAGGCCAGGACCCATGCATGGCACCCCCAGCCTGCACCCTGCGGCTCCTCCCCTCAAAGTCCCCTGGTGGGAGAGCAGCACGGGGCTCCTGAGGAAGGGGCAGCACCTGGTGCAGTGGCTTCTCCCCAGCTGACCCCCTCCCGCAGTGTCTACTCCGGACACCAGTCAGTGCTCGTGCCTCCGCTGGAGCTGGAGAGCAACGTGTCCCTGTGGCTGTCAGCCGTCAGCCAGTACAAGGCCCGTGTCACCTTCTGCTCCTACTCCGTGATGGAAATGTGCACCAAGGGCCTGGGCGCACAGACAGGCGCACTCAGGGTGAGTCCTGGGCGGAGGCTTCTGGGCACGGTGCCCTGAGCCAGGCAGTGGCCCCCTCCCAAGGCCCATGCCAGCCCCCTGTACCTCCCAGGCCCTGTGCCTGTAGGGAAGGTCTTCCTCGAGCTGCACACCCGCAGGAGAGAGAGAGAGGGGTATGGGCTGGATGCTGCCCTCTGCGCTTCTGTGTCAGAAGCCCCAGCCTGACACTGGGGGGCAGATAAGTGTGTCAGCTTCCCTTGTGCACTCAGACCGAGGACCAGGCCATGCTGGGCCCCACCCAGAAACTTCTAGGAGGGGTAGAGCCTGGATCCTTGCCTGTGTGGAGTGCACCAACTCCCTGCTCCTCTGCAGATGAAAGGGGTGAACCTGTCATGTGTGCGCACGTGCATGGTGGTGGCCGAGGAGCGGCCGCGGATTGCCTTGACACAGTCCTTCTCCAAGCTGTTCAAGGACCTGGGCCTCCCTGCGCGTGCTGTGAGCACCACCTTTGGGTGCAGGGTCAACGTGGCCATCTGCCTTCAGGTAAGGGCCAGCTGCAGACCACCCTGTACACTTGCCTGCTCCACTCTCCACCTCCGAGCCTTTGCTTCACTTTCCCATGGCCGTTTAGAGCTCCGAGGCTTTATTTTAAAAGATTTAGTGTTCTTGTTGATGAAGAAAGAGTTATTTAGAAAAGAACACATTGATTTGACTGGTACACCTGTAAGAATCTCTAACCAGATGCAATGTGTGGCTACTTGTTAAAAGAATTGCTGGACTCACAATGTTACAACATCTAGCAAGTTTAAATGGGAACATTGTAAATGTGCTTATTCTTGTAAACCCAAATCTGTTTTGAAGCTGTAAGTTGCAGAAACGAATTTCCAATGTAGGGCTTCTCTTCTGCTTTCTGGATTTGGCATCTCCATTGACTTTCTTTCTGAAAATATATTTTTTTAATATTTATTTTTTTTAATTGTAGTTGGACACAATACCTTTATTTTATTTATTTATTTTTATGTGGTGCTGAGTATCGAACCCAGGGCTTTGCACATGCTAGGCAAGTGCTCTACTGCTGAGCCATAGCCCCCGCTTATCTTTCTGGAAACATCTTAAACCCACATAGCTTATCAGAGATCCTGCACAGGAGGAGCTGGGAGCAAGAAGCAGGTGCTCCCAGGGCCGAACTGTGGGCCCTTCTGAGTTTCCAGCACCTGTGCTGTCCTCAAGGAGGCCTCGCGTATAGGTGGGGTGCAACCTCAGATCCCATGTTAGGCCAGCACCTCATGTTTCTGCTGATGTCCTCTCAGCCTAAGAAAGGCTGTTGGCCTCTCCAAGCTTCAGACCTTGAACGGTGGAAGGTGTTGGGGGTCCCGCCTTGATGTTCCTCACGTGGCTGGCACTCTGGCTGGTGCCTGTGAGCTGAGACCCCACCCTGTGTCTGCAGCCTGTTCCCTGTCTGGGTGCTGGAGGCACCTGCTTGCCTGCTGGCGAGCGGGTGCCCATGTGGCCACAGGGCTCTCAGTGGGATACCACCTGTGCTCTGAAGATGCAGTGACGTGTTTTGCTCTCTTCCGTGTTTCTCACGTGGCCGGTGGCCTTCTGTTTGTGTTTCCTGTGGCTGTCTCCTCCCTGTCTCCCTCTGCTGGCCCCTTGGCCTCTGTCAGCCCAACAGGCTGGGAAAGCTGGCTGAGCAGGTATGACCTTACCCTTGCCCTCAACCTTTCTAGTGCCTGACCCCACCCCCAGTTCTTGTGATCTTCTCGTGAATTTCAGATGCAAATGTGTTTCGTTTGCTGTCTAACTTTGTTCACAATGGGTATTATTTGACATATCACAAAAGCTTCTTTGTGACAAAATCTAAAGTAAAACTATTTTCAAAGTGTAACCTTGGCACATTGCAGGGACCTGGAATCTCAGCAGGGCTTGGTGTTGATTCAGGGCAGACACAGCTGATGTTGCCTGGGACCTTCAGGAACGTGCTGATCAGAGTCCGTTTGTTAGTGACTTCCCAGCTAGTGGAACAGCACATTCTGCTCTTGAATCAGGACTCAAACACTAGACTTAGAAGAAGTCAGGACAGGCGTTGTCTCCCATCTCATCTGAACGAGCTCTGCTGTGCTGGGTCCCTAACAGGATTGTTGAGGGCAGGCCCTGCTCTCACCACTGAGCAGAAACGTCCCAACCACAGCAAGAGACCACTGGGAGTAGAGAGTTAGAACTGAAGCGAAGCTTGTGTGGCTCGATGTTTCCAGTGTTCCTGAATGTTTCACTTGATATCACAACCCTCATGGGTGTTGGATGGGGAGCAGCAGCAGCCCTGCCCTGGGACCCTGAGCCCCAAGGCAGACCCGCTCTAGGGAATAGGCTGCTTTCTGGGCACTCCCCATGGCCCAGGAGGAGCTGCCACACCGCCAAGTCGGTGGCCCCCAGAGCAGAGTGCAACCCGAAGGCAGCTCCTCCGTGCTCCTCCTCTTCCAGGGCACAGCTGGCCCAGACCCCACGACCGTCTACGTGGACATGCGGGCGCTGCGCCACGACAGGTAATGTCCACACCTGCTGGCAAGGTGCCACAGCCTGGATCTGTACTAACAGCACCCTAGGTCCCAGACTTCAGTGGACACTGGTTGGCTCAGGGCCTCCAGGCCCTGGGTGTCAGTGGACTATGGCTCAGCCAGGGCCATCTGCACTGAGAGAAGTGGAGGTGTGTGGGTCTCTTGGGGTGCCCTGTGGGGAAGGTGGGCTTTCACCCCTGTGCCCCACGTCCTCAGAGCTGCAGGGAGCAGCCCTCATCCTCCCTCACACAGCCCAGGCGACAATGGTTGCTTTCTTGGGGAACGTTAGAAGGCAGGACAGCCAGCTAATGGAAGCACCATCGTCCTGGTGCTGCTTCAGCGTCTGCCTGACGCTCACATCAGGAGGCATGTGCTGGGGCCAGATCCTCAGGGTGGTCACGCTCCTGTGCTATGTAAATAGTGGGTGCAGCTCCCTGGGTGCCAGGGGCTGGCTAGGTGGCAGACAGCCCAGGAAGCAGGGCAGGTGGGGCCTGCCTGGGGTTGTTTATAAGAGGCTGATATTCCGGCTGTTGTTGACAGACACCCTCAGGGAAAAGGTCTCCAGAGATTATTGCCCACATAGTAAGTTTTATTCTGCATCTTTTTCTGTGTTAATTTTTAGGGTACGCTTGGTGGAACGGGGTTCTCCGCACAGTCTGCCTTTGATGGAGTCTGGAAAGGTAGTAGAAGCTGGGACTCCTGTGCCCCAGGGCAGGTCTGAGACCTGTCTCAAATGCCACCCAGTGGAGGTGCTGGGGCTGTGTGCTGCCCAGCGAACGTAGCCAGACCCTGGGAGTGGGCTGGGCCACTGCAGAAGCCACTTCCTCCTCTCCGCACACGCAGAAGCATGAGCTCACATCCAAGAGTGAGCATCCAGGTGCAGATGCAGAGACTGATTACCCTTGACCAGGCCATGGAGCAAGGGCCCGCCCACACACACTCTTAGACTCGGGTGGCTGAGGTCAAGTGGCAGCAAGGAAGGGGCCCTTCCAGGGCTGCAGGCCAGTGGGGATGTGCCTCCACCTGCTGAGGTCCGCGAGGGTGCTGAGGGAGGAGCTCTGGGCCTGAAATGCCCAGGTGAGAGGTGCGTCCTGCAGGAAAGGCCAGCCGGTGCAGACCCAGGAGCCAAGGTGCCTTCAGAGCTAGGGATGCCCAGCAAGGGCCACTGGTCAGGGTGAGAAAGTGAGTCAGGCTGGTGGTGTGGGCATGCAGCGCATGTAGGGGTCTCCAGGGCCCCACACAGCAGTGGCCACACACCTGGGAGCCTCTGGCACCCCTGGGGAGCTGCCTCTCTGTACCTTCACAACTCAAGAAGGTTCAGAGAGGCTACCCAACTCTACTTGCCATGGCTACGGCCACAGCTGCCTCTAGGAGGCAGGGTGCTGCCCAGAGAGGGCCAGAGCCAGCCACAAAATGGCCAACACATGGGCCCTGTTGGCTGCCTGCGGGTGGGCGTGTGTGAGCCAGTGGCAGGTGCAGGCGGCAGAGCTGCCTCCACACATCTTTCCACTTTCTCTAAGCAGCAGCCCCGCTGAGAGCTGAACGGATCTGGCCCGTGGAGGCCTGTGAGGAGACTGGGGACTGCGGCCCTGCCTGGGTTGGAGCTCCTCCAGGTGGTTTTGCAAAGTCCTGATGTCACCCTGGCACATGTTCCCTGGGTGCCCTCAGGAGCCCCACCCTGCCCTATGGCCTCCCCCTTTGGTCGGACTTTTCTTTCCTTCCCCTTTGCTGGCACAGTAGCTCAGGCCTGCTGGGCTGTGTTCTGGAAGGAGAGCTGTGGTTCTGGGGTTCAGGTGGGCCACAGTGGGGGAAGGCATCCAGGAAGACAGGCAGAGTAGGGAGGGCCTGGCGCCAGTGTAGGACCACACCTCCCACGCACGGCCCTGTCCCCTCCTCCATCTGCCTGAGGGCCACATGCCATCGCCCTGGCCCTCCCTCATCTGTAGCTGAGGGTGCAGAGCTAGCAGCCAAGCCTGTGCAACCAGCTGGTGACCTGAGCCAGGGAGGGGCCCTGGGTTGGCCAGGAGGCTGGGACATGGCCTCCAGGCTGCCGATCCTGCACTGAGGAGGGGTCAGGCACAGACCCCTGGGGAAGCATGAGGCTCTTGAGGCCCTGTTGCGCAGGGCCAGTGGTGGTTGAGGGTTTTCAGCTTCAGTGAAAGCCCTGGTGGACCCCAGCGCTCGCCCAGACGGGAAGTGACAGGACATGCTCGGGACCTGGGGTTGTTCTGCTGGGTCCACAACTCACATTTTTTCTTTTAATGTCTCCTTTCTTTTAAAATTCCAAGTCAGGTTTGTAGTGGCTTCTAGATTTCTAGCCTGTCCCGGGTGGGCAGTCCTGCTGCGGGGCTTCTGAGGGACTCTCTTTGATGCCCCTGCATCAGGAATCTCCTGCTGTTTTCTTTGATGAGGACTTTTAATAGCTAGCTGTCCTCCTTCCAGATCCTCCCAGGGGTGAAGGTCGTCATCGCACACACTGAGACCAAAGGGCCCCTTGGAGACTCGCACCTGGGCGAGGTGAGTGTTAGCCAAGGTTGCCCTGAACCACGGGGAAGTGGCGGAGCCCTCCAGCCTCACCAGCTCTGCCCTCTGCCCCTTTCTGTCCCAGATTCAGGAATTTTGACCCTGGGGTCACACATGTCTTTGGGAATCCCGGGAACACTTTGGCCCTTTCTCCCGTCACTGTATTCCCAGACCTGCTGCCCTGGGTGGCCCCAGCAAGGGAGCCTCAGGTCTGAGGGCCCTGGATGGCCGGAGGAGCCACCGGGAGCCAGCTGCCGGTGAAGCCCATGCTCTCCTCTGACCCCGGGTCTGTCCTGGAAGCATGTGAGCACGCATGTGAGTGCCACCAAGGGTGCCTGTGTGGATGTGGCTGGATGTGGCGTACTGTATGCTCAGGCTCCGTCGTTCAGTCTGGTCTGAGCAGCTGTGTCTGCCACCTGGTCCTTCTGGGGACTGAGCTGTGGGTTGCAGTGCGAGGTGGGCATTTTGGCCTGAGGATGTGTGGGCTCTGTGCCCACCCCCAGCACAAGACAAGCACCCTTTATTTGAGGAAGGAAGTGTCACTTGCCTTCTGTGCCTATAGCTGTGCTCAGTCCACAGAGTGAGATGCTGAGAACGCCCCTGACGCCTGGCTCAGGTTTCCTTGAGGCTGTTCATGGCCCGGGGCTGCCTCAGGATGGAAGTTGTGCTCTCTGGTTTGTGACATGCCCACGTTCTTGTCCTCTGGGCCCCACCAGATCTGGGTGAGTAGCCCCCACAACGCCACTGGGTACTACACGGTCTACGGGGAGGAGGCACTTCATGTTGACCACTTCAGTGCCAGGCTGAGCTTTGGAGACACGCAGACCGTCTGGGCAAGGACTGGCTACCTCGGCTTCCTTCGGAGAACAGAGCTCACAGATGCCAGTGGAGGTGAGGGCCGCTGTGAGTGCCTGCCGCAGCGCTGGGGGGCAGGGTGGCTGTCCGTGACAGCCCTGGGACCTGCTGTGCCTGCCTGTTTGCTGGAGCTTGCCTAGTCCGGGGATCTCACCACATGGCTGCCCCTCACCTCCTTGGACCCATGACTCCCGCAAGGACAGGGGTGAGTGAAGGATGGTGGCTATTGGTGATAGACAGAAGACCCTTCCTCAGGCATACCAGCCTCCCCAATGGCCTGCCCCCCAGTGTGCTGGGGGTGGAGTGTCTGAGCCGTGGCCAGGGTCCCGAGGACTGCGGCCAGCCCCACAGCTAGGTTGCCCCTATGGCTGCTTTTTCCAGAGGTGGGAACAGTTAGTGTGCACACACCACTCATGCCTGCCACTCACTGCAGTGACAGCCTCTGCGTGGATGGCATCCAAACCTCCCTGTCCAGGGCTCTTGGCTGGGCCCACAGACACTGGGCGGCTCTGCCTTCTGAGCACCTGCTCTCACCTGCATCCTAGAGCGACACGATGCGCTATATGTTGTGGGGTCTCTGGACGAGACGCTGGAGCTGAGAGGCATGCGGTACCACCCCATTGACATCGAGACGTCTGTGATCCGGGCACACAGGAGCATCGCTGAGTGGTAAGGGACCAGCTGAGGAGCGCTGCCCCTCTGCATGCACACAGGGCAGGGCCTGGCACTTCCACATCAAGTGGACAGGTCCCAGGGAGGACCAGGACTTCCTGAGTTCTTCCTCTGGGTGTGTTTCTGGGGAACCCCACCAGGGCACACCTCGTTGCCTTTGCCAGGGTTTCGGGTTTTTTCTCTTCCTAATCAGTTTCAAACCAAGAGACTACCCCAGATGTGCAGGCAGAAGTCCCAGACTCTGCCACGTGTGCTGCGGCATCTCTTTGAACGTGGTTCCTTGATGCCCACAGGCTCCTGGTTCTCAGCAGCAGCTGGGCTGAGGCGTGGTGCCCTGGAGGCACATGGCCCACTGTGGCACATGCTTGTTCTATTGCTTCTTGGCACTTTGCCAATGCCTTTTGTGTGACTGCCTGTCACAGTGCTGTATTCACCTGGACCAACCTGCTGGTGGTGGTGGTGGAGCTGGATGGGCTGGAGCAGGATGCGCTGGACCTGGTGGCCTTGGTGACCAATGCAGTGCTGGAGGAGCACTTCCTGGTGGTGGGCGTGGTGGTCATTGTGGACCCTGGTGTGATCCCCATCAACTCCCGGGGCGAGAAGCAGCGTATGCACCTGCGGGACGGCTTCCTTGCAGACCAGCTGGACCCTGTCTACGTGGCCTACAACATGTGAGTGCCACCGCCAGAGCCTCAGTGCCCCACTGTGCCCTGCTGTGCTCTGCGGGTGCCTGCACAGTCCCCATCACTCCTTCAGGAAGCACTTCCTGGACTCCCTGAGACGTGCTGGGACCTGCCAGGGATGTTCACAGACACAGAAGCCAGCATTTACCTGGAGTGCCAGGCGGAGAGGGAGGCCCCTGCTGCACCGCAGGGTGGAACTTCTTAGGCCGCACGCATGGTTCTTGATTTGTAAAATTCAGTTATTTATTCCCACTTAAATGACAAGTGCATATCAAACCTCATTTGGAGAGAACTCGGAGGCCACGTCACAGCGGCCTTCTGTCACCCGGGGCAGAGCCCAGCCTGGTAAGCCTGCTGGGTGGGAGCATGTCCTGGCCTCCCGTGTGGATGGCAGCGGGGCCACGCTGGGAGCTGTTTCTTCGCAGTCTCGCTGTGGAGGTTGTCTGCACATGGTGTCACTGATGCTCATGAGGCCACCTGAGACCATCGGTCCACGTGCTGTCCCTGCCCTCCTGTGTCCAATTCCTGAGTTCTCATGCCTCCACATGCTGCTTCTCATGGAGTGTGTGGAACTGACATCCTTACTCCAGCAGATGGGGCAGGAGCCCAGGTCCACCAAGGTGTCCCCAATGTGCTGACCCACCCGCTGGCTGAGGAGGGCCATTCCTGTTGGAGGTAGAGCTGTGACCCTCCTCGTCAGCGAGTGCGCTTTGAGTTCTGTGCCTACGGAATTTGGCCAAATCATTTCCAGTTATTTCATTCGAACTTAACAAGGCTGAGTGATCTGTTACATTGAACCTGAATCAGTGAAGAGAATGTAAGATTCTTGAACTGTTTAGGGACTAGGAGCTGAACACTAATCTGAGACAAAAATTATTTTTATAGAGCTGATTAAGAGGATATTACAGGTGGTTGGGTTTTAGGATTCAAGGGTGGGAAGTTATGGATTGTGTGTGCTTCACAGAAATAACCAGGCTATCCTGGATAGTGCCTATAGTTCCACAGCGTGTCTGGCCAGCCGGGCGGTGCTGGATGGCAGCATGGTACGTGGGAACAGACCAGATCCTGACAACACTGTTGTAACCACATACAGAATTCATGTAGCTCATTGTTGGTCCCACAGAAGTCTTAGCAGTGGATTCATTCTTTACCAAGAATGGCTGAGAAGGGACAGAACTACCTAATGCCAATCTTAATGTAGTTTTATAGCAAACAAAAATTATAAACTTTTTGTATTGAAAGGTCAGTGGCAGTAAGACAAGGTATCTGGTAAATTAAGATTTTAAGATGCACATTAAAATGTTTTAAAATTGCTCTCTGGGAATTCTGTATACACACTAAAATTTTTATATCATTATGTTAATAAAAGCTATTGACTATTTGTAATTCTGCATTTTGAAATGTGTGAAAGGTTTTATAACTTATCCTAAATAGGATCTATTTTATGATGCATTCTTTCAGAATATAAAAACAACTATGCTTACAGCATAAAATCTAGAAAGCACATTGAAGTATAAAGAAGAAGAAAAGTAAAACTCCATGAACATTTCTCTGAGTAATAGTAATATTAATTACTATCAATAGTAATAGTAATGTCAGTACCTCTGATGTTAATACATTAATATTAACATCAATCTTTCAGGATCAATTTTTCCTTTTAAACATTTTTTATAGAATCGGGATGACATACCTATTTTATCACCTGCTTTTGTACTTAACAAATAACAGATGTTTTGGCTGTTCTCTGTGCTCCTCGGGTCTGATGCCCTCATCCTGCAGGTGTGCCAGACTTACACCAGATGTGGCATTAACTCTGCACTGCACACGGGCTACTTCAGGGTACAGTGGAGGACCGCCACTCCACACTTTTGGCTCTGCGTGGGCTCAGCTCTCACAGAGTGGGCATGGTGGTCACTCCAGGCCCGGAGCCCCAGCGCCCCTGCCTTCCAGAAGGATGGCCAGAGGTCACTTCCCAGCATTGCTGGCAGCAGGGTCACATGAGTCTGCTGCCACCAAGTGCACCCTTGCATGGGAGGGGCTCCTGTCTATTTCACTGTGGACCAACCTCTTCAGATTTGGCATCTTACTGCGCTCGAGTTTTTCTTATTGATTGGTGGAGACATTTCACATTAAGAATCATCCTTCTTATTTTCCCAAGTAGGTCGTTCTTGTCTTGATTGTACTTACTTTAGTTCAGATGGTGCTTTAACTGAGGTCAGTTGTGCTTTATTTCAGGCTGTGAACCAGCTGGCTCATCTCAAAAGTGCTGCTGCTGGAGTGGCCGGCAGAGCCATGGCACAGCACGTGCCAGAGGAGTGACTTACCTCCTGTTTGCTCAGGTCCCACCAAAGGGCCTGCCTCCCACCTTCCAGAATGCTCCAAAGGAAGTCATGAGGCCTGGTGTGTCTCTGACTCTCTGCAGTAAGTATACAGAAAGAGTAGGAAGACACATCACCCTCTGTCTGAAACCATTTTGCATAAGGTCTTACAGGATTAAGGGATTACCTTATTAAATTGGTTGCAGTAACAGTGTTACAGCATAGTGTAGCATTCATCTGCAGAGTAATGTTCAGTTTTAGTAGCAGAGAATTCCTTTAAAAGGTAAATATATGCAAAATTTCAAAACTTAACTCCTCTTACATTTTTGCTTCTTACTAAATAATGAGTGTTTAAAGATGAATGATCCCTAAAGTGTCTGTGCAGATGGCTGGAAGTTCAGCTGATCTGGAGCTGAAAACACATTAACCGAAATGGAAAGTTCACTAGAGAGATTCAGAGGCAGACTGAGGAGGTGGAAGAAACAATCCCTCGACTTGAAGCTAGGACAACAGAAATCATCAAGTCTGAGGGACAATAAGAGAGAAGACTGAGGGAGAGTGCAGGAAGCCTGCAGGACACGGCCTCCTTCCAGTGCACCAGCATGCACATTTGAAGAGGGGACAGAGAATATGAATATGAGCATAAGAGAATATGAATATGAGCATAAGAAGCTAAAGGAATGCAAGTAGGAACTCAGAGGAACCACACGGGTCACTGTGATGGAGCTCTGAAAGCTAGAGGAGGAGCAGAGTCTTTGGGCAGCAGGAGGGCGTGGCTTGTCACATGCATGGGCTCTTCAGTGAGGCAGATTCTCATCAGAGGCCAGGAGGCTAAGGACTGATAGATCCCAAGGGCCAAATAAACAGATGAGGACAACAAGACCTGCCCACCAAGAACCTCCGCAGCCAAGACAGAAGGGAACTGAGATGGCAGCGGGAGCTGGTTTCCAGGAGACCTGCCCACAGGAGGGTCTGGAGGCACTCTGAAGAGTGGTGTTAGAACACTGGGCAGGGACCTCGGTGGGCAGGTGCAGGGCACCTAGAGAAACTGGCCTTGTGACACTGGTCTATGATTCCAGAGACGAGTATCTTCAGACATCGCTGGTCTGAGAGCTGTAGTATTGCAACTTTGGTTCTTAATCCCACATGGTGTTTTCTACATAATTTAGGAGGCCAAAGCATTTCAAACAATTATTATTACATTTGGGGAGTACAGTGTGTAAAGATGTGATCTTGTGACATCATAGTGGAAAGGGCTGGGGACAGAGCTATTAGTGAAGCAGTTTTTTTAATGACACAGAGGTTAAGCTGGTAAAATGGAAGTCACATGTTAGAGTTTGTTTAATGTAATCCGTATGGTTACTACAGAGAAAAATATCTGTAGCATATACACAGAAGGAAATGAGAAAGGGATTTAAACATTTCATTACAAGAAATCAACTACACACAAAAGAGGACAGTAATGCAGGAAATGAGGCCCACAAAGCCGCATGGCATATACGGCTCACACAGCAAAAGGGCAGAAGATCCCCTGTCAGTGGTCGTGGCCACGTGGGTCAGAGTTTGGCATGATCCATCCACCTGTGTGTTTTCTCCAAGGGACACTTTTTAGATCGGGTAGATGGAGAGTGAGCGGGTGGAAGAAGATGTCCTGTGGGAATCTCAACCTGGAGAGCAGGGCAGCCATGCCGCCAGATGCAGAGGACGCTACCTGTTAATAAGAAGGTTCCTACAAGAACCTGCAATTGCTATTGACATTCACACCCGAGGCAGGACTCTCGGAATACCTGGGAGGAGAACCGATGGGACAGGCAGTTCTGTGACAGGGGACATCAGTGGCCCACACTGTGGATAGAGGCCCTGAGGAGATGAGGGGGATTGCTGTGCGTGACACCTGCATCAGCACCAGTAGGAAAGCGCGTGCTGAGGAAGGGAAGGTGCGGCGTGGCAGGAGGGTGCCTGCAGCCACCAGGTCTGTGCCGGGGCTGCCTCCCTCAGCAGGTATGTTCCCAGGACCCTGGGTGGCTCTGGGGTCTCTGCCCAGGAGCCCATCTCTTGGGCCTCTGGGGAAGCCTCATGTGGCAGGCAGAGCGGAGCCATTCTCCCTGTGTCCAGGACAAGACGGAGAGGAAGGCCTAGGCCAAGCCCCAGGGGCAGAATACCTCCCCCTAGGCCCCACTTCTCTCAGGTCCCTCTACCTCCCAGAGCATCATTCAGGGAAAGGCTTTGGGGACAGACATTCCCCGTCCACCTAAAACAACTACTATGAAAAAGTGAACATCAGAATAGAGAGCGTGGTTGGAGAGGACAGATCGGAGCCTTGTCCGCCAGTGGGAAGGTGCGACGGCCAGCTTCTGTCAGAGGAGGCCGTGGTCAGCTCAGGACTGATCACCATGCGGTCCAGGAACCAGACTGCACACTCCACAAGCTGAGGGCTGTGTCTCCAGGAACATCTGTGCCTCCCACCCTCTGGGGCCTGGAGCTTTCCCACACCAGCCTCCTGTCCACCCCCATTGCTGCTCCTGCCCCCGACACTCCCATCCACATGCCTTGCATTGTCCAGAGCGCTTCCTGAGTTTGGTCTGCCCCAGCTGGAAGCCCCTCTGGTAGCCCCACTGCCCCTGTGGACCTTGGCCTGGTGTCCTTGCAGATGCCAGCCATGGCATTGAAAGTGTGAGTGCTTTGCAGCTAAAGGACCCAGGTGTCCTCCCTGGGCTGAAGCCCCTCTGGCTCTAAGAGTTGCCTGAGGCTGCTTGGTGGGGACTTCCGCATTCCTGCCAGGGATGTGACCGCCTTGGAGGGTCTGCCCACATATGGTCAGTGCGGGAGTCCTGCCAGCATGGGAA